TTTTTTCACTCGATCGATTTATGTCCAACAATAAAGTAGCACATTTTTATACTGGCTTTGAGAACTGGGACGCTTTTATGGTAATTTACAGATATCTCAACCCAGGTCAAAAAGGTGAGAACATCAGATACTGGAACTCATCGAATACAAATGTTTCCCAAGCTGAATTAAATCCAGACAGAGGGGGAAGGCCAAGAACCTTGAGCCCTTTACATGAGTATTTCTTAGTGATGTGTCGTCTCAGACAAGGTTTTCCAGAGGAACACCTTGCTCATTTATTTGACATATCCTTGTCAACTGTGAGCAGGATTTTTATTTCATGGATGAACTTCATGTATTTAAAGCTTGGTGGAATCGATTTATGGCTCTCACGAGAAGTTATTAACAGTACAATGCCTGAAGACTTCAAGAAGAAATATGCCTCAACAAGGGTAATAATTGATTGCACCGAAATCAAATGCCAAATGCCAAGCAGCCTTCAATTAAACAGTGAATTGTTTAGCAACTATAAAAACCACACAACATTGAAAGGATTGGTTGGAATATCACCTGGAGGTGCAACCACCTATGTAAGCCAACTCTACACTGGCAGCATTTCTGACAGAGAAATTGTAACAAGAAGTGGATTTTTAGATCTCCCTTTTGATAAGGATGACTCAGTGATGGCTGACAAGGGTTTCACCATTGATGATCTCCTACCTCTTGATGTATCAATCAATTTACCTCCCTTTCTTGGAAGTGCAGACCAGATGCCTGCTGAAGATGTCATCAAGACACAAGAAATTGCGAGCTTAAGGATTCATGTTGAGCGTGCTATTAACAAAATTAAAAACTTCCATATTTTTGATAGAGTTATACCACTACATCAATTTGGATTGATAAATCAGATATGGACTGTTTGTGCTATATTGTGCAATGGACAACCAAACATAATATCTGTCAATCAAAGTGCTACAGATTAAGGGTTGTATATGACCATGACAAGTGATAACAATGACAAAGGTGTTTATTATTTATTAATAGCTCAGATAAAGTTGGTAAGACATAGTAGAATGATAATGTCATAAATTTTAAGTACATTTTTAACACACCACAAGGTATTATGTTTTCATTAAGTTCAATAATTAACCCTTGATAAAATTCAATGACATATTTGAATGTTGAACTTGGCAGTAACATTCCTAGACAATATTATAATCACTCGGCTAAAGGCAAACAACAAATGAAATTCAGTCACATGCAAATCAAAACCTTAACTTAGGAGCAAATGAATAAAGTGCATGACTCATTCGACGTTTGCCCAATGCCATAGTTTGCAATATTTACGTAAATTTGTTTTATACATGAAGCATTCATTTCATATTGATATTGTAGCAAATATATACATTTGTTCTACCTAAAAAATTTTTTGAGTACAAACAATATTTTAGTAAGATACTTATAATTATAAAATTATTTACAAAGTGCTACCAGAACAATAGAAAGCAATAAAACTGTTTAAAAAATGTTACAATTATTGCACACTCTTCTACAGTTGTCAGTCAATAGCATTAACTTAATATTTCATGGATATTATTATATTGTTTGTACTCTAAAAATGTGTTATGGTTAGTATAAACAATAATTCCCATAAGGTACAGTACCATATTACAGGTACACTATTGTAATATAGTGGTTTTCATAAACCTATGAAATACTACATGCAAAAAATCAAGTCTTAATGAAAACCACTCTATACACGCCAAAGAGTATACTGTAATACTCAGGCATTAAAATATGAATAGTCTAAATAGCTTTATAGTCTTCAATAATAAGTGTTAACATTATASAATTCTAAGCATTGTTGCTGTTGAACTCTAAAAAGGTTAGTACATGTACCTTTTTATGTGGCATTTGAAGTGTCATTGGTTGAAGAGGAGGAAGCAAACTTAATAAAATGTTCAAAATAATATGTATGGAGCTTTTCTTTCAACTGCTCCCAAAACTGGTCATTTCTTGAAATCCTCTGAATGTAAAGTCCAACCTTTGTATATACAATAAAGTCGCACCATTTAGCTCCTGTGATGCCGAGCTGTCCTTGTACTTGAGCATAGTATGGATGGGACTCCTTCAATTTACAATGATTATCCCCAGACTTCTCCATGAAGAAATTGGAATCAGAGCATGCATCAAGAGGTGATACATTAAACTTGGTGATCGGGCACTTTACCTCTGCAATACCGAAGGGATGGATGCAGCCACAATCAATTACTCTTGCGTCGGGGGTAGCACCAAGGATAGGGTATCCTATATCCACTACCAGTCCACATTTTAATACTTGGACAGGTGTATTTTTATTGTACATAAACTTCTCATATGCCAACAGTGCAAAAGGCTCGTATTTTTTCCCATGCTCAAAATTTCTTGAATGAATTTCTTTAGGATTTATCAAATTGTTTGCAAAGGTGTCATGATTTCTTTGCCGTCGTGAAATCAAATGGAAATTTGAGGCAGTAAACCTTAACCTGCGCGCGCTCATCTTTCCATCTGGTTGACTGTGTCTGTTGTCTTGTTTCTTTTTCAAGTTTGTTTGAATCAGCTTCACTGAGAGACAGTTTATCTAGCAGGTCTGTTTCAGCAGGTGTCAAATTGTCTGGTATTGGCATGCTATTGATAGACTGCAAATTAAAGTCTGGGTAGGAATTACAATCTGAAGCAATCACAACTCTTGGGATTGAGTCTATATCAGATACAGCTTTAAAGTTTGATTCAGTAAATGCAACCTGATGTGCAAGGCATGAACCAGCCTTGAATTTTCCAAATTTTGTGTCTTTTGTTTCTGTACTACTTGAACCATCAAGAAACATATGTGCAAAGCCACAGTTTGAGTTGATACGATGAAAATGTTCCTTTAAAGATTGTTCATCTACATCAGAATTAGTGGGATTAGCCCTGGCCTCATAGATTAGAGGCTTCACACAGCCCGTAGACTTGGATGTTTCTAAGTCCATTTTTGCTTTCTTAACCACTACTTCAAGTACAGGCTCAGGGGCTATATTAGCACCCCCACCTTTCTTGTGCCACTTTTGAAGTAGTGATGTTGCTGACGTCTTTGGGTGCTGGTCGTCTTCATGTTCAAGGTCAGTAGCAAACTCACAGCTATACAGTGAAAACTTACAAATTTTTAACATTAAACCGAGAATGTGGTTGCAAAAACCAACTGTTCCTGCCTTACATGAACATGTACTAGTCTTGATTTCCCCTGTGATAATGCATAATGCAAGTTTCAGACGATGTGGATCATCATGCCTTTTATAACTATGGCAGCATCTGGCCTTGAAGTAAAA